CAGTGCCCTGTTGGTCAACGGCACTGTTGGCGGTCGTTGTTAACCCGGGCGTCGACCGATCCGGTATGGAAATCGTTTTATTGATCTGCATATTTGATTTAGCTAAACGTTTTACGCCGAATGCCCTTCCTGACGCAACCCTCACCATTTATCCGGGCTTGGGACCGGCACTATAAACACGGCTTCGTGTACCCTAGTGGCTGGCTTCGTATGTGTGGCAAATCGTTTTCGATATTCTTTCTCGTGAGCACGAGAAAGTATCTAGTGCGCATGGGAAAGTATCTGCACCATACCAACCCCCCTAAACCTTCCTGCGGGTGGTGAGTCCACTAGAAGGAACCAACCTAGGAGGTGAACCCTGGGGTTTTACACCAATGCCAGAGACATTGCCTCTGGGCCAAAGAGCCACTCTGATCGAGACTACTTTCTTAAATAATCGAAACACATTGTTGTATTTTATTTTAATGTTTTGTACCATTATTATGCATGCAGAACTACCTACAAAATAACTAGTATTTTATGAAGCCTAAGAAGTGTGGAAAGTGGGGGTCCTTGTTACATTTGTATGTGAACATTGTGTTCTCTTAAAGAAGTCATAGAAATACCTATGGCTCAAAAAAAAAAAAAAAATTAAAATTGACTTTGTTAAAATAAAATCGAGAAACGTATTATTTGCACAAACCTGTCTTAAATACTGCAGAGTAGCCCTGGGTGTCTGCAGTCACACTGAAGTCTACCGAACACAACATCGCTTCTTATAGCCAACGAATGATTACACCATTGTGTATTAGTTGGATAGATGTTTGTTTAAGATGTATATCTACATCTGCAGTGTATCTCAGGATGCACTGGGATTCTAGATCCTTCTCATTCTGAAGTTACCAGGTCTCTCTCTGTGGTCTAACAGCTGTCACCCCTCTACAACTGTCTCTGCACACACACACCCTCCTGTCATTTTGGCATCAAGCATTTGCTGGTGACTTCTCAGCTGTCTGTGACTGAAATAGACCTTATCAGGGTCAGACCATCTCTGAGGGGGATACGCTATAACAGAATGCATTTATGGAAAATAAAGTGTAACATTCATAAAGAAATAGATGATTACAAGAGACCAGAAGTATGTCTGTTGTAATTCAAGGTATTATGTTGTATGTCATTGTTGAGAATTTGATGATTTAGAGTCACTTCATATGCCCCCCAAAGCACCCCTTTGGGTGATAGATGGTCCATCTTGGTTCTGTCTGATCTCATTCAGAACACGTATATATGGAGTAGTTGGTGAAAAGTTAGTTACACAACATTGAAAAGTTAATCCAGCTCTTTCTTCACTGGATCTGAAGACAGGTTTACAAAGGGGAGAAACATCAGACTACAAGAGATTTGAAGAAGAGACACGGGGCACTATCCAAAAGGTACAGTCCAGCTCCCAAAGAGATGTAGAAGTTTTTTTTTCAGTCAGGTTTAAAGGGGATGATTAGGATAAGGACAGTGGGGGTTGATAGTGTAGAGCAGTAGTAGATGCTGTCTGTCTATTGGGAAAGTGGCATTTGTTGCAAGGCTTTAGTAAGGGTGCTAGACCATGCCCAAATAAGGGCTTAGGGGAGTCCATTTAAAGTTACAGATAACATGTGCCTGACCATTTGCTACAGAAGACCCAGGTCAGTTACACAACCTCTAGCACAAAAGGGTGAGCATTAAAGTAATTACAATAATAATAAATCTAATAATGTTAGCATTGTTTTAGGTCATATAACATAATAATAGTTTTCCATTCTAATATATGTCTGTCTGTTGTTAAAAGCATTCTATTTACGTTTTAAGCTTATTTATAATTTGTGTCTCATTTAGGTATTGGTGTATTGGTATCGGTATTTTTACTTCTTCAGCTAATTTTTAAATTGTCTTTTGTCTGATTATGTGGTGCTGTCAGACTTTAAAACTTTTCTTTACATTTAATACATAATAATGTCACTATCTACTAGATGGGAGATCCAATTCAATTAAAAGATGAGGGAAACAAACTTTTCCAGGCTGGAGACATTGACAAAGCCATTGAATGTTACACAAAAGCTATCAAGGAGTGCAAAGACAAAAAGGTGCTGGCTGTTATTCACAGGAACCGATCAGCATGCTACCTCAAAAAGGTGAGTCCTTTGTAAGATGCACTCACCACATTTAATTGGTAATTTGTTTCGTAAATTGATTTCCACCAAATCTCTCTGTTGGTTTCACAGGAAAATTATGCCAATGCCGCATCTGATGCAACCAAAGGTAACAGTAATTCAATGATGTTTAAACATCTTTTTACAATTACTATTAGCTTGAAAATATTTGTGAAGCCTGACCCGACATTTCCTTCATTTTCTTTCTAGCAATTGATGTCGATGCAGCAGACATTAAGGCCCTGTACAGACGATGTCAAGCACTGGAGAAGCTAGGAAAACTTGACATGGCTTTTAAAGATGTGCAGAGATGTGCCACCTTGGAACCAAAGAATAAAACCTTCCTGGAAACTCTTCGAAGGCTCGGGGCAGAGATTCAGGCCAAGGTTAGTACACAACATTAAATTCATAAAAGACAGTACGGAACTTGATATAGCATTGTATGCAGAAAAAGGTTCCTATCATAAAGTGCGTAGACAAACTGAAAATGATGATGAACACACTTCTTGTGTCTCCACAGCTCAAGACAACATTCTCCACAGATTCTCGAGTACAGAACATGTTTGACATTCTACTCAGTGACGAAATGGAAAAGGACAAAAGAGAAAAGGTGCTGTCCCGTTAAAAATAAATATTTTCCTCTGCTAGTTCTTTTTTTTGTTTGTAGCTTTTTCACTAATTACTATTCCTTTTGTCTATTTATGTCTATAGGCTGCCAACAACCTAATTGTGCTGTCAAGAGAAGATGCAGGAGCAGAAAGAATTTTCCAGAACAATGGAGTTCCTCTGCTGCTCAATATGATCGAGACAGGGAAACCGGAGATGATTCTTGCTGCTATTCGTACTTTGTCTGGAATGTGCACAGGACACAAGGCGCGGGTGAGAACATGATTCCAAGCAGAGACATTTATTATACAGCAATCAAAAGTGTTTCATTCTAAGCAGCCTGAAATATAAATATCTAGAAGAATGATGTCTTTAGAAGTGAGGATTATATTTCAAAGTTCCTTTACATCTTCAACAGGCCATGGCTGTAATGAACCTAGTGGGCATTGATAAGATTTGCAGCATTATGGCCATTGACAATGAGGAGATTGCTCTGGCAGCCTGCAACCTCTTCCAGTGCATTAATGACTCCCTCACCGGTGGAGACAAAAGGGAATATGGCAAAGAAGAGTCCTTGGTTCTAGGTAGGAAATTGTTATGATTTGTGACATTAGGTTGCTTTTGATTTTTTTCCAACATCACCAAATGATACAAATAACGTTCTTCTATAATCTGTTTTTCTGTAGATACAGCCAAAGATCTGAAAAACATTCTACTGTCACTGTTGGAAATGCTTATTAATAAAAAGGTCTCTGGCCATGGTAGAGACCAGGCTCTGAACCTTCTGGCTAAGAACGTACCACGCAAAGACAAAAAAGAGAAAGATAACACAAGTGCCCTCTTCACAATTGATCATGGTGAGTTAAGCATTAATAACTGCTTTATGTTTTTAGTTCTCAACAAGAAACCATAAACTTATTCTTGTTCCTTCTTGTGTTTTTCTTAAGGTTTAAAGAAGATCCTTAAGGTGTGTGGTCAGGTGCCAGAGCTGCCAGACCAGCTGCCTCTAACAGAAAATACACAGCTGATTGCTAGTGTGCTCCTCAACAAGCTCTATGATGACCTCAAATGTGACCCAGAAAGAGACAACTACAGAGACATCTGCGTAGAATATGTCAAGTCAGTCCATGAATAATGGAGGCATCAATATATTGGTTTTATAGCTAATATTGTAAACAACATTGTCCAAGTCGCTAAAACTCACACCATCTAATTTTAGACTTTTTTCCACAGATCTAAAATTGACCCCAAGAATATGGACAAGACAATTCATGCTGTGAACACCATCTCAGGACTCCTTCAGGGCCCCTTCGATGTGGGCAACGCCTTAATTGGGCAGCAAGGTATTATGGAAATGATGGTGGCGCTGTGTGCCTCAGAGCGTGAGGTGGACCAGATGGTTGCTGTGGAAGCACTGATCCACTCCTCCACAAAAATGAGCCGAGCCTCCTTTATTATCACCAATGGTGTGTCACTGCTTAAAGATATTTACAAGAAGACCAAGAATGAGAAGATCAAAATTCGCTCATTGGTGGTGAGTGGGACAAAAAAAAATGGGAATACTGTCAAATAGTATTTGGCTTCTTTGTACATATGAGTCTACAGTGTTTGCATTTCTAATTTCCATGTTTCCTCCAGGGTCTCTGTAAACTGGGTTCAGCTGGAGGTGATGATTACAGTTTGAGGCAGTTTGCTGAGGGATCTACGGAGAAGCTGGCCAAGCAGTGCAGAAAGTAAGTTCTTACCTTGATGTTTATTTTGATGTAGATTAATGAATTGAAGCAGCTAATTTAATACATAAAATAATCTCTCTCTGTTAAACCTGTCTTTTTTATATTTCAGGTGGCTTTGTAATCCTCAGATTGATACCAAAACAAGGAAGTGGGCCGTCGAGGGTCTTGCTTATCTGACTAATGATGCAGATGTAAAAGATGACTTTGTTGAGGATGAGCCTGCCCTGAGAGCCATGTTTGAACTGGCTAAGGTAGAGACAATACAGTGAAAACAACACAATCCAAATTAAGCAGACTGAACACATCAGTCTTTTCTCACTAGTATGTGAGGTATTCAGTTCAAGCCCAATAAATTTGGCTCACAAAATACAAACATGTTTGATTGACTTACATAAGGCCAGTCTGTTCCCCTCAGATTTGCATTTCCCCCTGACTCACCAACAGTTTTCTGGAAATGTTGTATAGACTAGTGCAGACTATGTCCTAGTTTGTCCTTACTTAACTGAATTCTATTATCCGATTTCAGTCGAACGACAAGACCATCCTGTATTCAGTGGCCTGCACATTGGTTAACTGCACAAACTCCTATGAAAAAAAGGATATTCTTCCTGAGCTGGTTCAACTTGCCAAGTTCTCAAAGCAACATGTTCCTGAGCAACACCCAAAGGTAAAGGATGGAGAGCTGAAAGAGTCTCAGAGGCAGTCCAGGTGTCAAAAATCAAAATCATTGCATTATGAATGACCAAACTTTGTGTACTTCTTTGACAGGACAAGAAGGATTTCATTGAAAAGAGAGTGAAAAGGTTGTTGGCTGCTGGAGTCATATCAGCTCTTGCTGTCATGGTGAAAGCAGACAATGCCATTCTAACAGACCAGACTAAAGAGATGCTGGCAAGGTATGGTGAAGCACTGAATAGTCATTCATGAGAATTGTGTTATTATTTAAACTTAGTGTCCAGTTAATAAAACCAATGGATAAAAAATCCTCATTCACAAGTATTCTTTTATTTCTAAGGGTTTTCCTGGCATTAGCAGATGATCCTAAAGACCGTGGTACTATAGTGGCTCAAGGTGGAGGAAAGGTAAATCATAGATATTATCTTAAAATGTTTTGCTAAGGTATCTGCTATTGTCAACTTAATTAAACTGTTGTTCTGTTCTCAGGCTTTGATCCCCCTTGCATTGGAAGGGACAGAAGCTGGAAAAGTAAAGGCCTGTCATGCTATTGCAAAGATTGCAGCCATTTCCAACCCTGAAATTGCCTTCCCTGGTGAGAGGGTAAGATATGACAATAAAACTGCTTTGTTTGTAGAACTGAACTAAAAAAATAATGTATTTGTGTAATGCTGTAATTTTACATAATTTTACTAATTTCAGTATAATTCTACAAAGTATAAAGTATACAACGTATAACATAAAGCAAAAATAACAGCTTTGGAAGAAAGGGGGGCTCAAAGTCTAAAAAAACAACAAGGCAGCATAAAACCTTAGATCGAAAGGTCACTGCTTACTTAACTTGTTTAATTTTTGTAATTGTTTTGGTTGACAGGTATATGAGGTAGTGCGGCCCCTAGTCAGTCTTCTTAAAACTGACAGAGAGGGATTACAGAACTTTGAAGCCCTGAAAGGCCTGACCAACCTAGCTGGTTTCAGTGAAAAACTAAGGTGACTCTTTTAATACTGTGAATCTGACATCAATGGCCCAAACATGCCATTTCTTTTACTCTTTGTTATTGTGGCTAATTTGTATGCCTTTTGCCCTTCAAGAGTAAAGATTGTGAAAGAGAAAGCTCTACCAGAAATTGAGAACTACATGTTTGAAGAACACGACCAAATCAGACAAGCTGCCACTGAATGTATGTGTAACCTTGTGACATGTAAAGAGGTAAGAGGGTTTGCATATTTGAATTATTAGTAAGTTAGTGTCCCACACACCTGTTCTAGAGATTCCCACTGTGTCTTAGGTTCAGGAACGCTACCTGGAAGATGGAAATGACAAGCTGAAGCTGCTGATTCTGCTCTGTGGCGAGGAAGACGAGGATCTTCAGATAGCCGCGGCTGGAGGTCTAGCCATGATCACTGCTGCACAGAAGAAGCTCTGCACCAAAATGACCAATGTGGTAAGTATATTACATTTTTTTATATCAAGAAATCTCATTGTCAAATTAAACAAAAATGATGTCCCTGATTGATCTTCTCCAACAGACAACCCAGTGGCTTGAGATCTTGCAGAGGTTATGTCTCCATAGCAACATAAAAATCCAGCATCGTGGCCTTGTGATTGTCTACAACATGCTTAACTCAGATGAAAGCGAGCTGGCCAAGAAGCTGATTGAGAGTGAGTTGCTGGAAATCCTCACCATTGTTGGGAAGGCTGAAGACAACCCCAAGAGGCAGGAAGCCATTGATGTAGCGCGCCTGTGTCTGGTCAGAGCCATGGAACTCGGTCTCATTAAACCTTTTAGCAGTCCTTCCTAAATTTTGCTTGTGTGTAGCAACAGACATTGTTCTTTGTTTCTCTGCTGACATTTTCACATTCATTTTCACACCAAAAATAATATATAATAATTCATCAATGTAGTAATTTATAACACGACATTTAGACGCTATGGTTTTCCCACACAAAACAATTTTTGGTTAGCCTTTGTGAAGAAAAATAAACCATAAAAATCATCATTTCTATTTGGAGTGAAAATATTTACAGTGTGATTAAAGTTGATTTTTTCAGTTTTATTTTTAGAGGCCATGGATCTTTTTTCTAAAATCATATCAAGGGTATGACGCTGGTTTGTGCTGTGTCCATGTGTGTTTATACCAGAAGAGGGCATCCTAGAGCAGCAGTGTGATCGGTCGTTAGACAACAGGGTTGTGCACTGCTCTACATGTAAAAGGCAGCAGGGGCTGGGAAACACACTAAAACACACAGACACTGCGCCTCTGACAGCTCTCATGAGAAGAGTGTCTTCACTCGTCAAAACTGGAGTGGAAATAAACGCTGTCTTACTGTATATTTACCCGCTTTTTATTTACCAGCTGGGGATAGTCATAAGCTGGAGCAGAGGGATTTTCTTGCCGCAGGAGCAATAAGGAAAATAAGAATATTATTTCTATACCCGGAGGAAGAAACACTGTGGTAAGATTACTGTTTGTTTTTCAATAGCCGTCTGGAACATTGTAGATAGCCTCATACCTGGATGACACAGTTGTACTTTACAGCTTTCTGTTCAGACAGATGGAAAGAAATACAATAAAATGTGTGCTCTGATAATCACGTCGTCCAGATGTGCAGACAGTGACCTCCATACTGTTTATGTCACCAGATGAACCAGAGGTTAAACTTTTTGTACAAAGAATATTGACCTCACGGCATTTTCTTTGATGCAATGAATAGTCAAAAATGTTTGGCCAATCACCTTTTGTCACAAAAACAGTCTAAAGGTTTAATATGACTACAATCTTATATAATATTTCCAAGATTAAAAAATTACGATTTATATTTAATAAGCTAATTAACATGATACACACAAAATAAATACATAGATGAATTATTGCGCTATACATACATATATAGGGCTCATACTTTACTACATACCTTCTCAAAGCAGTGTGCTTCAGACTCCTTGCATGGCTGGGTCAGAGAACCATTAAGTCTTGCATAATAGAAAAAGTCTTTTGAGTGTTTAGGTGAGTGTATAGTGCTGTTATCATTGGTGAGGAGCAGCTTAGTTCTACCTTCGGTAAAGAATACAGGAATTGATAAGTGCAGAGCATGTTGCTACTCATTTGTAGCTGGTAAGCACTGCTGAATGACCTCGTCCATAGGTAAAATGTGAGAGAACAAAATTATTAGGCTTTTTATAATGGACCACGGGAATTGGTGATTTTATTTTTACCAGATCGGGTAAGATTTCACAAAGAAAAGGCAGAAGTATCGTCCATTAATACTCCTACTTAATACTAGCGGTGGGAGCTTTTACAAGACTGCATACATCTGGCAACATGGCAACAACATTTTACACTAAACCTAGAGTAGACAAAAATATATAAACTTTTCAACTATTCATCCAGTCTCTTAAAATTCAGATTTCAATGTTAATAACATTTTATATACTAATTTTGTTTGTAAAGATTTATTGCTAAGTTGCCAAAGAATGTCCTGACAAATTTCAGGCACACGGCAACATTCCCACATTAACACATAAGTATGTAGTGGCCTATTTAAAAATTAACTCAGGAATACTTTTGTAAGATTATGTTTGTTTGTTTTTTAAATAAATGAAATCCCTGAGTCATAATAACTGCTGTTCGTGCTAAAGTGTTAATGGTAGATTTCCTCTGTATTATTGTCCCATGACATTAGGAAGAAGCTGCACTGAGACATTATTTTATTTAACTGGCCTCATTCTCAGTATGTGTCACATAATCACAGCTCTTCACAATGAACTGCAACCTTTTTCTTCTTGGTATGTGAGAGCTTGACTCATCATGATTCCTCTTCCCTGAATTATCTGGCCACAAAGGATTCTCTGTGGCTGTGAAATAGCAGGAAAGCAGAAATGTGATTTCAATTTGATGTCAGCCAGGGGAGAGTGACTGTAGCAGCTTACCTGTGGAGCTGAACCAAATATAATTTAATTGACAAGAAAACAGTTAAATCAGTTTGATTCTGTTCATTGTTTCGGTGCAAATTTGTTCCATTAAATTTTGTTTTTTTTCACCAAATCAATACAAGTTGATTATTCGAATTTTTGTACCGCTTATAGCAACTACCAGTACTGATACTTCTTTAGGTTGGGTTTCAATAGTTATGCAATGAACTTGTAGGCAGTGTTATATAGTTGGCACAGCTCTGTGGGAAATAGGTTTAGGTGCAGTGTGTAGGTGCGAGCTCAACCCAAACCAGGGCCAGGACCAAGGATCAAGCTGGAAAGTGTTCATATGTAGTTTTATTCTCTTCTCTCATTATTAGCAGAACTTTTACACCAATGCCATATTTCAACTGAAAACACTAACTCTCCAGTAAAAACCCAGTCACAAATGTCACTTAAACTTAAAGTATTTCTATTTATTTTACATGTTTCAGCAAAGGAATAGGCAAACAATGTTGGTTAGATTATTCTCAACAAAACAGTGACAAAACAGTTAAGCAGTAAATGGCTCACCTCTCCATGCTGTTAACTTAAGTAAAGCCCTCGGCATATTCAGCACTACAGTACATCTTCAAGTTTTAGTAATTGTTTGATACAGTAATGAAACAAATCCTACAGAGGAAGGAGACACTGAACTTCAGTAGGAAAACACACAATACTGGCTGACTCGTAAGAGCCAGTTGTAGTGAAAAGCTTTACAAACCATCAGGTCATTAGCATGATTTCAAATGAAGGTATTTGTATCTTTGTACCCTGGCCTATAACAATACTGGCAGTTTTCATTGTACTGCACAGAATGATGTTTTCTTCTTCTTCTTGACAATGCAACCTTTACATATCTAATACATACAGTCTGTGTTTGGATAATCATGCAAAAATGCTATATCTCAACTAAGACCTTAACGCAAGGGCAAAATGTGACCCAACAGCGACCCATTAGTGGGAGCGCATGGTTTCAGTATTCACCTGCGTTTGACTGGGAGGCAGCGGCATCAGTCTATTGCAGAGGATGTTTGAAAGGCAAACTCTGTGATGCAAATAACTCTTTTAGGATATATATCACCTAATCTGTGATGCTCTGTGCTTTTGCACTGTTATGCCTCATGTTAGACTGAGCTGCATCTGCACATTATGTAGTGCTACATCATTGCTGAGTCAAAACAGACTATCTATTTATTTCAGACAGTCTATTTAAGAATAGGGCAGTAGAGAATTAAATACAATGTAATTAAACTGATGAGAGCCTTCCCATCAGTTTAATTACATTTTCACTTTGCAGCAGTTTAAGAACAAAACATGTAGGACAAAATAGAAAATTGCACCAGGTAAAAAGAGGATAAATGCACAGTGATGTACAACCAATATAAAAAAATATTAAAGAATCAATAATGGAGTAATGGAATTATTATGCTAATATGTTAACAGTTGGAGTACATATGACTTTATTAATAATACACCTTAGAATTACATTAACATAATCCACTTAGTTTGGGAAGTACTGTTGTATGATTTTCCCTGTGAGACATCAAAGTGAAGTTACAATTATGGTACAAATTACGCATGTTATGTTGGTGTCTCCATTTTGGTACTGATAACCAAATCAAAACAACTAGAGCTTTTTTAAAATTGTTAAAATTCACTGTCTGGACTTTGGGCTCTTGTTTTTACAGATGAGGAAATCTGGCATTAGAAAAGTTAACTACAATATGTGCTATTTTTAAAGCGTGGGAAGTTGAATTTCCTTTGAAGAGTAATGATATCCGGAAAAACAAAAGAGCCATGTACGAGGTAATACACACCTCATGCAAATCCCATCTGGCAAAGAATTTATGTAATCCAAGAGCTAAATTCACCAGAGTGTGATTCAGGAAAGAGGAAAAAGGACATTGTGTTTTTAGTTAAAGTTTTGACCAGAATATCCACAGTATTGTAACTGTTCTGTCTGTGGTGTATTTTTTTTATTCTGTAGCAGTATCTGAAGTAGTTTGAAAATACTCCACTTGACTTATACAAAACTTTTTAACTACCTTGGTGTGTTCCTTTGATTCCATAGAAATACTTACTATACTATACGAGTAGTTCACCACAGGGCAACATACTACATAGAGTCAAACAACCATTCACAGTCATATTTATAAATATGGTCCATTTAGAGTGATCACAAGACTTAAGATCAAACTGGCAAATAGTTGATATTTCACACTTTCACTACATGGCTTTAACTGAGGTCTTAATTTGGGAATTTGATTGGCTTGAAGACTAATGAATGGGTGGCTATGAGGTATCATAGGTCAACTGAAAAACAAAAGATCTTTCAGGGTATGGTGGATTACCATTAGGAGATAATTCACGGTGTTGAGTTTTTAAACTCAAAGTAAGACTTTCCTTCTTCAACGATAAGCATTTACTGTATTTGTTGTCTTTATGAGCACACACACACACACAAAAGAGTATTTTATCACACCAAGTTGGCACTGTGACGGTACTGTAACTGTACACATTGATGAATAACCCTGATTCTGTTTTTTTTTTTTGCTGTATAAGCCACTTGTGAGGGGTAGCACAATAAAAGACAGCATGAGTTTTAGTGCTGTCATGTGATCACGGGTCAAAGAGCGCTCTGTGTACTATGTTCTATCTGTACCATGGGATTCCAGCTGTAATGTGACCAAAATAATGGACCTATGAGGCGTATTAGGACAGTTACATAAGTCAGTGCCTGACACGGTTCTCAGATCTGCCCTCTCTTATAACTGTCAGACTAAAGCATGTGTCTCCTGTCAGCAAAGCTAACACGAGACACTGTCCTTTCTGAAAAGATTTGGTGTGTAATACTGAATGTAGCATTCCTTAAATTTCTGGAGCACAGGTTATTCACGAGAATAGCATTAGTAATTGTCATTTCTTAGTTAAATGATTGCTTATTTGTGGTATGTCGCAGGAGATTTATTCAGTAGAACCTGTGAGTGACACAAATGTTACAAGAAGTAAATGTACAAATCTGAGTTTTTCTGATTTCTGTAGCCATCTGCTGACATCTCATTGTTCCACTGTCTCTGTGACATAAATGAGCATAGAAAAAACATTTACTATTTATAATAAATGAATAAATATTTCAGACTAAATACATGAAATTGGATAATTATACCTGATGAACTCTCGTGGCATATTATTTTGCCACAGCACAGTGATTAGGAATCATTAATATAGTATATACTGTATATACATGCTGTTTTTGTTTTGTTTTGGTTTTTTTTTTACAAAAAGTTGTAAATAAAAATATAAACTGTCAATCATTGTCAGAAAAAAGATAGAAAGTTATTTGTGTGATTTTTAAAAATAAAACGTTTGGCATGCAATTAATGTAACGTGTAATGTGTATGACACCACACATCCCACAAATGTGTGCCATGTTCAGGGAAGTACTTGAATATCTGTTGTGAAATATATTCAAAGTACCCACACTAGGGAGGAAGAAGTTTGT